AAAAAAAAACACTTTAAATCAAATTAAATCTAAACATCATTTAAAAAGCTGCATAATTGGTTGTCACAAGGAAATACTGAGACTAAACAGACAGTGACCACAGTGTTCAGTTTTATTCAGTTTTCTTCTTTTGCAAACTAGATATTGTTTCCACAGAAGAAGTCACTACATGTTGCTGCCTTGTTTGGTAGCAGGTTTATAGGTTGGTTAATGTTATCATCATGTTAAAGTGGCATTTGCATTAATTAGTGGTTGTTAGTTAAGAAATGACTTAAGGATTTGTGGTGCAACCAAATTTAGCAAGAAGATTGAAGTTTGAAGCTAACTAGTGTTGACAAAAGACTTAGTAAAGACTTTCATCACAAATGTAATGATATACTTACACTAAACTGGTGCAGCCCAGCCTTGAATTCTGCTCTGAATGAGCTCAAGTTCTCACTCTGGGAAACAGGCATCCAGCAGTAAAGGAAGCCTTGTGCATCTTTTATGCAGTGATAGAAAACATAGTAGCTCACAGAAGCTCTGGGTCTACATGCTGATAACTTGATAAAATAATTCTGTTGTTGCCAGCAAAGATGGTCATGTGTTTAAGCAAAATCCATCCCAATTGGCTCAAAAGTTGTATGAAAAAGGACATTTTCAATGTTTTTTTGAAGCAGTAATGCAAAACAATCTCAGAAGAGTAAGACTAAACACTGACCCTCCAAAACGAAATTCAGTAGATGGTCCTGAAAGTTACCCTCTAGGTGTTAAAGTGTCATATAAGCTTGTCATAAACAGTATTAAACAGCTAGTGATTATATAATGTTATTAAATACATCCTCCCCAAAGCTTAAAGTGCAACCTGCGCTTGATTAAATATAATGAAACATTAAAAAGTTTGTCAAATTGTATGAAATACCTTCAATTCAGTTGACATTATTTTAACAAGTGATTTGTGTTTCAAGGACGTTTCTGCACTGTACTTTCTTAAAAGAAATGAAATCGAACTAAAACATCTCAAAAACTATCTGAAGTCTCTATTGGCTGATACATCTAATGATCTGTATAAAATTAGTTTGTGTCTCAGGTTCTTGATTGGTGTTTGAAGTCAATGAGGAGGATCCATGCAAACTCATCTTCCTCTTATATGTGATGCTGAATCTCTGACTTCTACAAGACGCACTGCCTGATTCCACAGCTGTGAAATAAGAAAGATCTCTCAGCTATGGAGCTTATTGTGGATTTACTATTGATAATAATGTTTCTGCATGGTGAGCCCTGATCTTTATTGAATTGGTTTTATTTTATAGCAATATTGGATGTATTTATATATGTTTTATTTATTTATTTATTTATTTATTTATTTATTTATTTATTTATTTATTTATTTATTTCCACAGGCATTTTGTGCCAAACCTTTATCCAGTCTGAAGCTGTGGTTAAAAGACCTGGAGAGTCTCATAAACTGACCTGTACAGCATCTGGATACACATTCAGTAGCTATTGGGCAGGTGTGGTCAGACAGGCTCCTGGAAAAGGCTTGGAATGGGTTGCTACTATTGGAACATCCACCTCTCAAATCTACTATTCCCAGTCAGTCCAGGGAAGATTCACGATCTCCAGATCCGACTCCAGCAGTCAGCTGTACTTACAGATGAGCAGCCTGAAGAGTGAAGACACTGCTGTGTATTACTGTGCAAGAGAGTCACAGTGATAGAAAACAGTGACAGAGCTGTACAAAAACACTTCCTCATTCAGTTACAGAGGAAAACAAAGTGACTGACAGAGAAACTTACTGTTGTGAATGCATGAATTACTCTACTTTAGATAGATGTGAATTATGTTTAATTGCTTCAGGCTTGAATATAATTTATATTTTATAATTTCTACAACAAACACTTTGATGAAATTAAATATGTGAATTTGTTCATTAGGTGTTTTGTATGAGCACTATCAGTAATGAACCAACAGGTGGTGCTAAAGTTCATCAAATGAAGTAAAATAAACCAACTAGATCTAAACCAGTACATACTTGGACACAAAGCTTGAACAAAAAGTTAAAAAAGAAAACAGTCACATTTCAGTTTGAGAGTACAAAATCCATGATTTACAAATTCTTTAATTACTAAAACTGGTGAAAGTTAGTTGAGTATTAACAGTGTAAGGACAAGTATTAGGATTAAGTTTAGGTTTCAGGTTTTGGTCAGGTTTAAGTTCAGAGTTAGAACAAATTTCATTTAATATATATTTAGTTGGACGTTAATTAACCCTTTAAAATCCCAGGTTTATGACATTCTGAGGCCTATTAATCAGTAACTACAGGAACTTCAATATAAATTAGTGGAGTGATTCTTAGGTTATAAATGTGTGTAATAAAACATTGTGCCTGCTGGCAGGTCCTGTACTTTTAAGGGGTTAAAGACAAAGTGATCATCTATGGTAATCTTTCTAAATAAAGCGGAACCAAAATCTTGGTTGTACAATAATCGGTATATTATTATTCACACATCTTGAACATTTCATTTACAATAATGCTTTTTGGAGAAATCCATCAATTTAAAGTTCTTTGCAGAACAAAGCTGTTGTTCTTTGCTTCAAAGAACTCCTTTAGGCTCTATTTGGCCTCTGTTTTTTAGTGAGTGAAGCTGCTTTTAAAAGATGAAGAAATTCTGAGGTGAAAGGATGCAGTTTTTGAAGTCTGTAAGGAAAATTGAAAGAGAATTGTTAACTATGGTAATGTGTCAAATAGACTTTCTCCATAAAGAATCTCAGGCACTTTACATAAAGAGTGTCTACACTGTAAAAAGTGGCTCATCAGATCTACTTAAAAATGACTTCATGTGGTAAAAAGTAAATTAACTAGTTTTATTCAACCTAAATAAATACTTTGAATTAACGATTCTTTTTTTAGTTGAATAAAACTAGTTCAAGTAATTTTTAAGTAGATCTGATGAGCCACTTTTTACAGTGTATATGGACAGTAAATTACTCATAAATCTGCTATGAACAATCATCTGACTGAATCTTATTATGGTGGTGGGACTTATTGCATGAAGGAATTTTACAGGATCATAAAACTCATCCATTCCCTGTAGATGCTGGACAGACACATGAATGTAGGTGGACTACTTTGTATTGCATTTGAAAGATCCTGATAACATGCATTTCAGTCGGGTTAACTTCCATCAGTTTTGAGGTAAAGACAAAACAGAAATGTTTTAATCCTTAGAATAACAGTGCAACATTTAGCCTCAAAGAGTGTCAATTATACACAACAACCAATGCACAGTTACACGTGTGCCTTATCCAATAATATAGGTGAGGAAGAACATCACTAAAAATAAAACCTCTAAATCATTATTTACTCAGTGCTGCATCTAAACTGAGGATAAATGATGTTTTCCTCAACAATGTATCGACTGTTAAATTAACCATTCGATACAATTTTAAAGAAGATGCAGAGTAAAAGGAAGAAAGAATAACAAAGTGGAAAATGCAAATAATTAAGAAGAAACACATAATTAAAAAATATTAAAATTTAAAGTTAAAAATGTAGGCAAAATGTGTCAAAGCAGCAAGGTCATTTTTATTTTGGCTGTCTCAAAATGAGGCATTTCACTGAAAATATTATAGTTTTTCAAAATTAAAAATTAATAATTTTGTTTTGAAAAGATGTATCTCAGTGACATTACATAGTAGCCCAAATTAATATCATGTAAAACATATGCTTTATGAATGTCAATTTAAACATTCATGAACATGTTATGAAGTGTTTATGTAAGATGTTATGAATGTGTTATGTAGAAACCCTTCAAGTGTTACAGAAGAATCTCACCAATGTGCAGTTTATGATTTTAGATTCTGGAGGCACTTAAAATATACACGACTTGTTATTACCAGGATTTCACAACACTTATGAGTAATGTCAATTCACAGTAAAATACAGTATTTATTGATTTATTATGAAAAGAACTCATCATTATTTATCATAAAATCAATGTCATGTAATAAAATAGCAAATTATGGTGAGGTTAATATTGAGTTAAAAAAAGGTTTCAACATTTTATTTATAAAAAAAATAATTAATAAAGTATTTTTTTTCCTGATTATTCAGGTTTTGGTTTTTAAAATACTTTATTTTACACTGGATTTTTTTTTTTTATCATTGTTTAAATCCTGGAACACTGAAGTGTTTACAAAAACTGTATGGCCTACTGCAGTTGCTGCTTTTTGGTTATGCAAATTGTATGTTAAACTATCTGTAAAATGTTCTGATATTTTGTGAATATACAATGCAAAACAGTCAACAAATATGTGCAGTGATATTGGTTTAATCTGATATTTTACTTTATTTATGTTTTATAAATCTAGATATATTTAAATGTCATGTTTTATATGCGAATTTGCAGGAAGTGACTAGCTGCCGGATCACATTACATTTACAGTTGTTATGTAAAAATACAGAAATTTACTTTTATTTACAGACTATTACTGTTTGTGTGAATCTGTATACAGCGATTCAGTTGTTACAGTATACAGTTGCTGTTTCTCTGTTATTTACTGTTAATATGGTTCAGTAAATTACTATGAAAGTAATGCAAGTAGTAGCCAGTCATTTACTGACTAAGTAAATAAACTAAATAAATAAAACCTATTTTTTTTATTTATTTAGAAAAGCAATATTTTACATGAATTCAAACCTAAAACACTTTAAATCCAATTAAATCTTCCTAGCTCCACTTTATACAACAGAATCAGTTTATACTTTTATTTATTTACTTTGCAGGTCATTTTAATATAAGTTTTTAATAAAAGTTAATTTTGCAGTAGAGAAGTTTTGCTCCCTCAATAAGTCTTTTGTGCTGCACATGCTGAACCTCTCCGTATCATGAATGGCTGAGACTCTCATGCATCACTACATAAGCAAATACAAGCTCCCGCCCAGGATCTCTCTATTAACCTTTATTTAAGCTGTGGAGAACAGAGAAGATCCCACAGGTCCAACTTCAACACCAACCATGTTCTCTACATCTCTACTGCTCCTGCTGGCAGCTGCATCCTGTGAGTTACTCAGTAAACAACACATTTCAGTTCATAGATCATCTTTAATAAATGTTTATATATATCATAATGTTGTATTTTTGACCAACAGGTGTTCACTGTTATGAACAGACCCAGCCTGGTTCCAAAGTGGTCCGTCCAGGCCAGAGTCTGACCATCGACTGCAAGTTCTCACATTCTTATATAAGTGAGTACACAGGCTGGATCCGACAGCCTGCAAGAAAAGCTCTGGAGTGGATTGGAAATATCTATGGTGGTGGGAGCACAGACTACAGTGATAAACTGAAAAACAAGTTCAGCATCTCCAGAAACACTGGAACCAACACAATAACATTACAAGGACAGAATCTGCAGACTGAAGACACAGCTGTGTATTACTGTGCAAAAGGCTCACAGTGACACTAACTAATGAACACGGTTTACAAAAACCCAGAGCGGATACTCAAGACAACTAATCACCTGTTTCAGTCTGGTTGTTTATTGTTGGATTAAAATAAATGCAGCAAAATAGGGCCTGTATTTTCAACATATGAAAAAAATGCAAAATTATTGTTCTGGTAAAGTAAACATTTTGTGTATTTTTTCCTTCAGTTTCAGAAAAATGGGATGCAACTGTCACTGGGGCAGTGCCCCTCTTGTCACTGGGGTGGTACCCTCAATTGTACATCTCAGTACCTTTAATCAGGGAACATAGTTGTACCATAATCCAATAAAATTATATTTTCTAAGTTGTATAATTTTCAACCTCTTTCTGCAGGTCCGTTGGGGGTCTTTTAACCAGTATATTTCAAAATGATAAAAGTATACAATTCTGTAAAGAACTTGAACAGCCAAATTCACTGTAGAGTTGTTTTGGGATATCATCCCCCATGATTTTATTTAATTAACCTGTAAAAATGTGCAGTTGCTACTTTTTTGTTTAATATGAAGATTTACACATCAACAAAATGTGTGCAGAGATTCAGCAATGTTGACTGACATGTCATATAAACAAAATTATTCAAAAAGTACAAGAAAATGAAAAAGATGTGTCAAAAACAGAGATTTTTGCTCAATATTAAGTCCTCTGCTCAGGTCCTCTCTCCACACTGACTGTTTCTTTTACAGGTCTCCTCTCTAATATCCTGCTAACACAACACATAGTCATTCAATTAACAGCTAAAAAAGAAACAGTCTTTTAAAAATAAAAGATGATGCTAAACAATAGCATTGGGTTTTGATCATTTGTGTCCTAGTAAACATTTTTTGGAGGTTTGCAGAGTGACCAGAGGCTGATGGACCCTACAAAACATTGGAAAAGCTTTACATATAACATTGGCCTTGGTTTGGGCTGGTTTTAAAATTGGTGAATTTTAAAAATACTCTAAAACCTTAAACTTAGATTTATCATAAAAAGTAAACTAATCTACCTGCTTACAATTTAAAATTTTACTGAACTGCAAATGATGAGTTTACAGATGTTCAATGAACTTGAAATTAAAAACGGACAGTTTACTTTCTTTTATAAGTTCAAATTATTAGAAATTTCAGGCATTCATGCATTCTCTCTCTCTCTCTCTCTCTCTCTCTCTCTCTCTCTCTCTCTCTCTCGTGGGTGAATGCCAGCATAAATAAATGAAACCATAGATTATGAGGGTGATGTGTAATGGAGTCAGGGTGAAAAGGGATATGTTAACATTATAAGGTGATATTTTAACTTACTTTCACTTAGAAAATCAATAACATTTGATGGAGGATGTTCAAACTATGGCATACAATTGTAAAAGTATAACAATAAATAAATATACTGGTAATATAGGAACCACACTGAAGCTGTTTTCCATTCACTTTCTTCTGAACTTGTCCTCATTTAAACAGTCTGTAACATCTCAACTGTGAACTTTAAAAGGACCTCAGTTCATCTCATGTTTTATTTATGTTCCAGCAGGGGGCACCCTTTACTGACAAAAGCAATCCTGTCTGCTGTTCTCTTAATGTCAGAGAGAATCTGTTAATCTAACCAGCTCTGGATCCACAAACACCATGTTCCTCACGTCTTTACTGCTGCTGCTGATTGCAGGATGTGAGTCTGTTATCTCTCTCAATGAGGAACCAGATTAATGCAGTAAACTGACCAACCACATTTAACCTGCTGTGTCTTTGTGTCTCTGTTTAGGTGTCCACTCTCAGGTTGTTCTCACACAGTCTGAGAGGCCAGTAACAGTGGCTCCAGGTGGCTCGCACAAACTGACCTGTGCCTGCAGTGGATTCAGTGTGAGCAGCTACAGGATGCACTGGATCCGACAGGCTCCTGGAAAAGGACTGGAATGGATCATCGCTTATCATTCTGAGAGTTACAAAAGCTCAGCCCAGTCAGTTCAGGGCAGATTCACAGCATCCAAGGACAGCTCTAATCTCTACCTGCACATGAGTCAACTGAAGCCTGAAAACACTGCAGTGTATTTCTGTGCTAGAGACTCACTGTGGTGGGATTCCTATACGCAGATGTACAAAAACTAGAGGGCAAGATAAACAAAGGGAGGGTGAACTCTGCATCAGCTCAACCAAGAGAGAAATGGCAAGAAAACGCAACCTGTACAGAAGTTTTGAGAAATAATTGATATCAATTGAATAATGTAGTTTACTGTGCAAAGAGATTATCTTTATTTTTATTCCTTATAAAGATGACCATTAAGTTATTCATTGTGCAGGAGATGTTTCTGAGGAGTTTAGATATAAGGTCATCCACATGCATGAGGAAGGAGAAAGTCACAGGAATATAAGTAAAACAGCAGAAGTTAACAAAACTGCAGCAGAAATAACTAAAAGATGCAGAAAAAGTGAACTTCTAACAGCCATGTAAGACCTGGTAGACCACCAAACAGTCACTCCAAGATAAAAAATCACTTTTGCTTCATGTCTGAAATTAATCCTGAGAAAAAGAAAAAGACAAAACAAGATTGAGATTTACTGAAGTTTTGAAAAGAAGACAATGCAACTTCTAAGACTTTGGAGATGTGGAGGAATATTCATGCAAATGTCAATCAAAAACTGAAAACAAGTCCATTGTAAAGAATGGATGCTGGAATAAAGGCAGGAATACAGAAAGAAATACAAAGAAGTCAAAACTTAATGGACCCTAACTTTCCAAGGGTTTTATTTAATGTACATTATTCATTCCTGCACCTACATATATTAGTACTGATACTATTTCTATGTCAGTATTATTAGTTTGTGTGTCTCTGTTGCTCTTAGTGTGAAAAAAAAAAAAAATACATTTAAAACTGTCAGGTTCGGACAGAACTCGGACGCTCGCAGACCAGACTGAGGTAAAACAGCTTCATTAGCAGAAGGGGAATCCAAAATCAAAGTCAAACAGTCCAAGGTCAAAAGCCAGATCAGGAAAACAGTAATCATAGGGCCAATCCAACAAACAGAGTCCATAAACCAGAAGAGAAAGTTCAAACCAGAAAAGGCTAGTCTAAGGTGAAAGGTCAAAATAAACAAAGTAAAGATCATACATGGACAGACAAACTAACGTACTAGAAGGCTCAGTAATGCTCTGTGGAACAAAGACAATACTTTGCAATGAACAGACAAACTGAGGGGGTAAAAGTAGTATGTTAAACAGGTGACCTGAATCAATAATCAGGTGGGGAGTCACATGGGGTCATGTGATCTGGTGGGGCATTCTGGGAAATGGAGTCCAGAGTCTGAGAAGTGGTGACAGTGCGGCCGGAGGGAAGCGTGACAAAACACATCATTTCAGAGATTTGTCTTAATTTGCATATGGGGAGAGTACAGCAACATGGGAGGTGTACAGTTCATTGGATCAAGGGATGAACAGGGGTGGAGTTAGATATGAGAGGAATTAGAGTTGGAAATCATCTGGTTAAATATTCAGAATAGTGTTTTTCAGATAAGTGAATGAAATGTGCTCCCTTTGAATGTCCATTATCAATTAACTTACACTTTGTTGATGCTTCAAGGCAACGTTTCTAATACACTGTGTTTTTGGATATGTTGTCCAACCACAGCAACCGTCTAGCAACCATGAGAGACACCATAGAAACCACTTAGCAGTGCCCTATTAACAACCTAGCAACATCTGCTAATCACCTATCAACCCCTTAGAAACCAGCTGGAATGCTATAGCAACCATGATACCATCGAAACAACTACCTGCAATATAATATCAACTGCTCAAAAAACTGAGATATCATAGCAACTACTTTTCAACACCTTAGCAACCATATCCAATACCATAGCCCCTGCTAAGCAATCAGATAAAATGCCATAGAAAATAATAAGAAACACCACAGCAACAACCAAGAAACAACCTAGTGATACCAGGCAAATGCTTAAGTTGCACAATCACTCAGCATCTTCAGGAAACGCACTTTACTAGTTTAAATAAAAGTGTTGCTGCTCATATCTGTGGAAAGGTTGTTCTTAAGATTCACTGTATTAAACTAGTCACTAGATAAGCAAATACAAGTGCCCTCCCCTCCCGGATCTCTGTGTATTTATAAACTGAGGCACTCTCTATAAAGCTGTGGAGAACAGAGAAGATCCCACAGGTCCAACTTCAACACCAACCATGTTCTCTACATCTCTACTGCTCCTGCTGGCAGCTGCATCCTGTGAGTTACTCAGTAAACAACACATTTCACTCAGTCAGAATGCTGTGTGAGTCATGTTTATAGCTAAGATGAGACAATATTTTATAATAATGAATTTGTATTTTTGATCTACAGGTGTTCACTGTGAGGAACTGACTCAGCCTGGTTCCATGGTGGTCCGTCCAGGCCAGAGTCTGACCATCAACTGTAAGGTTTCATATTCAGTGACAAGCGATAGTACAGCTTGGATCCGGCAGCCTGCAGGAAAAGCTCTGGAGTGGATTGGAGTTATTGGTAGCAGTGGGGGCACAGACTACAGCGATAAACTGAAAAACAAGTTCAGCTTCTCCAGAGACACTGGAACCAACACAATAACATTACAAGGACAGAATCTGCAGACTGAAGACACAGCTGTGTATTACTGTGCAAAAAGCTCACAGTGACACTAACTAATGAACACGGCTTACAAAAACCCAGAGCCACTAATAAACTGTTTCAGTCTGGTTGCTCATAGTTAGATTAATATAAATTACAAAAAGTGCATAAAATGCAAAAAGCATGTCAGGATAGATGTCATATGCTGCCATGTTATCATTACCACTAATTGTCTTAACAGATGACATAATAACTGATATCATGACAGGACACAAGCTAATTGTGGTCAGTGTACTCTAGTTAGTTTTGATTACATCACTGCAGCAGCTTTAAAATATCTTAGCTTTACAATCTTAACAATTACTGTCAATGTAAACATGACAATTCTACATCACTCAACATAATCTGTCATGTCAAATCATGACAACGTATGATTGACATGTTCAGTGTTGGGAGCGTTTGCCAAATCATTGCTCCTTTATTTACCCATCCATAACTGTTACACATCCTTTCCTTTCAATTGTTCCTTCTCTATCCCTCCATTCTTCCATGAACTCCTATTACCACTTGCCCTGTTTAAGTTTATTTAATTAAAGTTCAAGTTCTAAATGAGTTAATATTTTTCATGAAGTGGTAGAATGTCTTACTTTCAACATATGATATGTGTTCTATGCTCTATTGTGAATATAATATGGGTCCAGGAGATTTACAGATCATTGCATTCTGGTTTTATTTACAATAATTCACATTTTACACAGTGTCCTAACTTTTTTGGAATTGGGGTTCTATTTACACAGTCACCTAAGCAGATGTGTGTTGGGGGAAACCAACTGAAACCACAAAAAAGAGCTAAAATGCTTCTTTGACTTCTTTGGTTAATAAGGCTAAAAGCACTAATGTTTTAGTGGGTGCTTTTACTTAGAGCTCTAATAATCACCCTGGTTTTAACTCCAAAAAACAATCTGACATCCACAGCTCAGTTCAGTGAGACGCAACCATTGCTGATCCATCAAAACTGAAGCTGCTGTTCTGTTGGTTGTCAAGAAACCATCATTTAAAAAGCTGCATAATTGGTTGTCACAAGGAAATACTGAGACTAAACAGACAGTGACCACAGTGTTCAGTTTTATTCAGTAATACATTCTTCTTTTGCAAACTAGATATGTTTCCACAGAAGAAGTCACTACATGTTCCTGCCTTGTTTGATAGCAGGTTTATAGGTTGGTTCATGATATCATCTTGTTAAAGTGGCATCTGCATTAATTAGTGGTTGTTAGTTAAGAAATGACCTAAGGATTTGTGGTGCAACCAAATTTAGTAATAAGATTGAAGTTTGAAGCTAACTAGTGTTGCCAAAAGACTTAGTAAAGACTTTGATCACAAATGTAATGATATACTTACACTAAACTGGTGCAGCCCAGCCTTGAATTCTGCTCTGAATGAGCTCAAGTTCTCACTGTGGGAAAAAGGCATCCAGCAGTAAAGGAAGCCTTGTGCATCTTTTATGCAGTGATAGAAAACATAGTAGCTCACAGAAGCTCTGGGTCTACATGCTGATAACTTGATAAAATAATTATATAGCAAGGATGTTCATGTGTTTAAGCAAAATCCCTCCTGATTGGCTCACCAGCTGTATGAAAAGGACATTTTCAAAGTTTTTTTGAAGTAGTAACGCAAAACAAACTAAGTACAGTCAGACTGAACACAGACCCTCCCTAAACTAATTCAGTAGATGGCCCTTAAAGTTTAAATACATCCTCCCCAAAGCTGAAAGTGCAACCTGGACTTGATTAAATATAATGAAACATTAAAAAGTTTGTCAAATTGTGCACTTGCTGAAAAAAGAAATTAAGTAATCAAACTAAAACATCTTACAAACTATTTAACGTCTCTATTGGCTGATGTATCTAATGATCCATGTATAATGAGTTTCTCAGGTTCTTTACTGGTGTTTGAAGTCAATGAGGAGGATCCATGCAAACTCATCTTCCTCTTATATATGATGCTGAATCTTTGACTTCTACAAGACGCACTGCCTGATTCCACAGCTGTGAAATAAGAAAGGTCTCTCAGCCATGGATCTTATTGTGAACCTGTTTTTGATAATAATGTCTCTGCATGGTGAGCCTCAGACTGTATTTGAACTGGTTTTATTTTATTGCAATATTGGATGTATTTATATATTTTTGTTTTTTTGTTTTTTTTCCACAGGCGTTCTGTGCCAAACCTTTATCCAGTCTGAAGCTGTGGTTAAAAGACCTGGAGATGCTCATAAACTGATCTGTACAGCATCTGGATTAACATTCAGTGGCTACTGGATAGTTGTGGTCAGACAGGCTCCTGGAAAAGGCATGGAATGGGTTGCTACCATTGGACCTGGTTCTCAGATGTACTATTCCCAGTCAGTCCAGGGAAGATTCAGGATCTCCAGATCTGACTCCAGCGGTCAGCTGCACTTAGAGATGTACAGCCTGAAGAGTGAAGACACTGCTGTGTATTACTGTGCAAGAGAGTCACAGTGAT